ATAGCAATAGCCCCTCGTTTGAAAAGCACACCCCCATTGTAGTTTTAATCACTGTTTACCATTTTAAAGAATGCGTATCGCACGCAGAAATGGTGTAACCTGGCAAGGGACGATGTCTTGCTCAGGACTCCGCCATTAGTTAGCCTATTGGTTGGTTTGATCCACTCATTCCTAACCTCGGCTTTTGGTGGAGGTGATTAGCGAGCTTCGCGTCTCTGTTGCTTAAACCGCGAACGAGGAGCCTCGGCACACATTGTGACCTGTAAGGGGTTGGGCGGACCCCACATCCGGTCTACATAAGGGAAAGGAGAGAAGAAATTTGCCCCTATCGGGAATCAAATCTCAGCCTTCCAACCAGTTGTCTAGCCATTATACCGACGGATATTGCCCGACTATTCATGTATATGCAAGCGTGAATTTATCTCATAATAGTCCGGCCTCCTTATGTGTAGGCAACCCACATCTCTCTACTGCAAGGAGTGAAGCTTCTCATTGTCGTTTTTAAGTATTTTAATTATCTTTTCTTCATATTTATTCTATTTCATTCTTTATCTTTTGTTGTATGGGCCTTATTTGTTTTATTTATCTTGTTTATTGTATGACACTAAATTTCTGTTTCTTTCTTACTACTCCATTAGTTTTCATTATTTCTTTTCCTTCGTATCATGTAATTAACTTGTCTAGAACGAGTTAATAGTCACTTGTCTCGCCAAGAAAGTAGCTGCCTTTTATGGATCTTTAAGATTTATTAACGTGTTCACAGAACTCGCAACCGGCCCCGATCTTTGGCCAGATAAATCCAGCCTACATTGGTATAATTTCTTAAAATCCGTTTTAATATTATCTTTTTTTTCCATTTGCGCTTCTCTTGCGATGGGGTCTTTCTTCCACGTTTTCCGATAAAAGTTTCGTAAGCATTTCTCGAGTACATCCATATGTTCATCTAGCAGTCCTGTTCCGAAATGCCCCCTAAAATGAGAGAGAGACAGGTAACCAACGCAACCATTCGGCAGTTTGACTGGTCGAGTTAAGTCTGGATCGGCCGTGGATTTCCAGAAATTGTCACTCCAGAAGGTTCTGAATGCGTGTACGAACGATTTTCACGTAAAAGTCGAATGGCACAGAGATGGTGCGTCGAACAAAGAATGACCTGACGTCAATTAGGCAAGCTGTTAGCTGGCAACACTGCCAACGGAGTTCTAGATATTCTTCATGAATGGAAGTTCCACAGCGGTCAAGACATTGAAAGACTCTCCCCCTTTTGAGACCAGGGTTGCCAGCGCGTGCTGGAATGCGAAGGGTGTCAGAACTCATTCAAGCCTGAAGGAGCAGGAATTCCATCTTCGGTATGTGTTTCTCGTACGGATGCTTGGTGTTCCAAGCCCCCGAAAGATTTACACACGAACCAAAACTAAATATTTTTCTTCAACAGGACTTCTAGGTGTGAAGGCAGAGGCAGGCATGTCCGTGTCCAATATTATCTACCAAAATGCTGGGTAAAAACGTAGATGATGAACATTTAAATCAGCGACAGAGTTAGATATTTGGGGACAGCATTAGCGAATAAATGTTACATTCAGGAAGGAATTAAGATCTGGTTAAAATTGACAGACGCTTGTTAGAATTCAGTCCGGAAGTGTTTTTCTTCGTGGTTCGTGTCGAAGGGCATTAAAACTGAATATAAAGAAGTATAGACGATGGTCTAGCGGTTAGAACGCTGGCCTTGTAATCCTGGGGGTCTCGGGTTCGATTCCCGGCGGTGCCCGAATTTATAACTTGTGTTGGGCAAGGCCGTGGTCTAGGCAACACGGAGTTTTCCTCCGGGGGCTTCCCCGGTTTCTCCGTGGCATCCCAACAATTACTCCATTCACACACAGAAGAAGGCAATGGCAAACCACTTCTGGATCATCTGCCAAGAACGTATATGAACAGGTCCCAGTCCGAGAAAAGGATGGAAGGATCTTGTTCATATGGACCTGTCCTCAGACAGAACACTAAATAAATAAAATAATTGTGTTTGTTATTTTTCACGCGTGAAACTTGGTCTCTCTCATGAAGGACGGAACACGGATTCAGGGTCTTTGAGAAGACGAAGCTGATGACAGACAATATGTTGGCCTACGAGGGAGAGACCAACAGAAGCTTTTGTAATTTTTACTTCAGCAAATCTTATTAGTACCATTAAATAAATGTGGAGGAAGTTGGCGGTTCATGGATTATATTATAAAGATGAAAAATTAGTATAGAATTTTGGACACAAGGGGGCGAGATCTCTTGAAAGACCTAAATTTAGACGGGATGATGATTTAAGACCGATCGTGAATGTAACAGATTGTGACGTGTGGACTGGATTCATGTGCTCTGTTAACCCTAAGGTTCCGTAAAAGAGGCGGAAATTCTTGAACATCTGAGCGAAGGTCATTGGCTTTTCTCTTATTCAAATCTACCGACCACATCCAATTCTGCTTTGTTATTTGTGATACTGAAGCTTCAGTCCAAGAAAATGACGTAAATCTGAGGGTGAGATATCAAGTAGAAGTTTACCAATGTTTTAGAGGTCCTTGTTGCCACCATCTTCAGGGCGTTCAGTTAAATGAGCCTAGAGGAATTTGTTTTAGTATGGAGACGGGAGGGGTGTGGGGAACAAGGAATGTGGTACAAAATGCTGATGGAGAGTGCCACTTATTTTGGAAGACCGAAAAGAAGTTGAGAGGATAACGTTAATACGTGTCTGAAGATCGGGAGTTGATGGATATGGCTCCAAATCGTGTCCAGTGGTGATCTTTGGTATTAACGGCATTGTACCTTTGAGCTAGACTGCTGTGATAGTGTTAATACGATTACTGGTGACGCCGTATGGGAACCCAAGAGGTCTCGTGGCTTTCAAAGCAGTTTTACCTTCAACTAATCCATTCTGGGACGCAAGAATAAATAATTCGCCTGTCGATTGTTCTTTTGGGCTGTGGACTAGTGTTGTCTCTTCCTTTTTGGTGCTTATCAGCGTTTGGAGAGACGTACCGTGGGATTGGGATGCTTGTTATGCAATCTTTACGACAAGTATGTGGTATACATTTAAACCCCCCCCCCCCCCCAACAAAGTCACAGCCAATTATTTAAAGGAACAACGTAGATTTTGTTTCTTTGAATGTGGCACTTTGTAGAATCTGCGAGTATTTCTAGTTGAGTCTCGTGCTATTTCGTGATGCTGTTGTAACGAAGGGTAATATAGAAATCCTTCCTTGGTGTCCCTTGGTTTCTTGAGGCGAAGTTTTGTGAACTAGCCGCTCTCAGAGTCGAATGTACTCTGTCCAGCATTCCTAAGATTTTGTACAGTGTTGCCACAGCTGTGTTTACAAAATACGGACACTTTATTTTTGTGTGTGTCGATAACGCAAAAACTTCTAAAGCTAAACCCCCCCCCCCCAACAACATCTGACCGATCCTGAGCTGCTTCTGTGTGGTTTGCGAACAACTTTCCTGAGATCCAGTTTTGCATTATCGTAACAGCCTCTGACTGGTTTTCCAAAAAAAATTTTCTATATGAATATCATATTTCCCTGCTCCGAGGTATCTGCCCAGCCTTGCCCTCACTGATTGAAGCCCACTGTCAGGGTGATTTGTGTAAATAAAATGTTTCTCTGTATGAATTATTCTTAGTTCTCCAATTCCTGTCTTGAGTTGGGTACAACAGGAAAAAATGTTTAATGAATTAATGTTCTGTTCTTTTCACGTCAGCTTATCGAGATAATTGAATGAAATACAGGGCAGGAATTACGAAAGAAAGGGACTTATAATTTTCGTTTAAATGAGACGCGTTGGAACACTGGAGTGAGATGCGTGCAATGTTCCGCCTAAAAACTGGCCACAGACGATGGATAATGTCACCGTGGGTAGGATATTCATTCCCGAAAACATTGACTCACGTCTTTTCTTCAGGGCGGGTCTTGGGCGTGGGGTAAGTGCTATTATGGTGGTATGACGGAATACTACGTGCAGCAGTGCAGACATGGCGTAGGTGGGCCATTGTCTGCGTGGTCACTCACGGCTGAGGAATATTCCTGAACGAAGGACACTTTTGGTGATCCACTTCCGGACAAAAAGCTCACCTCCCGTAAGCAGAATGGGGATACGACATAATTAAACAAGGATCCAGGCCGCTGACTTGCGCTCAGGAAGTTTCCGGTTCAAATCTAATCCGGGGACTGGATATCCTGACAAACTTTAGGGGATGTTGACTCACTCCCTTTTGACAAATGTAATCATCATCTGATAGTCATGGATTTAGGCAAATTGTCGAACCGTTCCGGCTACATTTGTCCAAGAGATTCTTTATAGGCCATCCTCTGTTCCTTGATTCACGTGGTTTTGCAATTTTGTATACGCTGGGAAGTCTATTTTACATTCTGTAAACGTATATCAAATCTAAAACTTCTTGACGACTAGATAGAGCTAATCCCTATCTCCGGACCTTTCTTGGATATTATCCATCGTCTAGTGGGCCCAACTGTGTAAGAACCTGAAGACGGAAATAGAGTCCCATCTCCGAAACGTCGTTTTACGTTTTATATTTACTAGACGATAGATAATATCCAAGGTAATTTTTATTCAATTGATTCTGTAAACGTGTTGATTTCGGTTGGTATTATATTTAAAAATGTCCTCTTGTTTTTAATTCTTGTAGTATGTCTCTATTTTATGGTCCTTCCAAATGTGTGTCACTCTTCTAGTGGTTATGAATTTAATTTAAATTTTCTTTTCTTTCATTGACCAGTTTTAAATCCCACACGAAAATGTGTCAATCAAGGTACGTTATTCGAACACATTTCTGCCTCTGTGTTGTAATACCTTAAAATGGACCATTCCTTGAACAGGAAGTTCTTGAACAAGTCCAAGATGAGTATTGTGGTGTTCGAGGTTAGGAAAAGATTTGAGATAAACGATACTTTTTCAGTGGTTTTACACAGTCGGTCACATTTTATTGATTTCTCTTTTCCCTGCAGGTTGCTGGATATCTGTCATGGCCAGAGGCTGGAGAAGGAACAGCAACTGGTGTTGTTCCTGGTGTTTGAACACGTGGACCAAGATCTTGCAAGCTACATGGAACGATGCCCTCCTCCAGGGCTGGGTTCTCGTCGCATTAAGGTAAAATTCATGGTCGGTCACTGTTTGTATGGACCGTGAGCTACGCTTTCATCTCTTATTACATGATGATGGTCTACAAAACAGTATTTGTGCTATTTTCGGAATATTATTAAAACCCCACCATTTTCATCTTTTGTTCTGGCTCTGTAATTGGCTTTTTGTCTTCTTGTTTTTTAGCATATTGGACTGATGGAGTTACTGCTATATTTTAAGCCTGTGCATTATCTTAAAAATTAGAATAATTAAGTCACATTCTTTTATTTACTGATTTTTCTTGCCTTTGGCATTAATTTATTAGCTCCTTGTCGCAGGAAAAATTAGTGTAGTTTAAAACATTTCAGGAAATCATGCATCAGATCCTGTGTGGTGTCGACTTTCTTCACACGCATCGCGTCATCCACAGAGACTTGAAGCCTCAGAATCTCCTGGTGACAAGTACGGGACACATCAAGTTGGCAGACTTTGGTCTCGCTAAAACATACGACTTTGAAATGAGACTGACGTCGGTCGTCGTCACTCTGTGGTACCGTTCGCCCGAGGTCCTCCTTGGGCTGCCGTATGCCACACCCGTAGATATCTGGTCTTGTGGCTGTATCATGGCAGAGCTGTTCAGACTCTTTCCACTATTTAATGGCAGTTCGGAAGGGGACCAGCTGGATAGGATATTCAGGTGAGTTGCACAAAATCCAGAGGAACTGTGTGTATTCTTACCACAAATAACCCCTAAAAGATGCGCAGTGATCAAACTTAACGCATCCTTGTTGAGGTTATGTAACCCACTTTGGGTCTTTACTCATTTCTAACAATTTCTTGTAACTTTCTGTCATTAATACATATGGAATTTAGTATTTTTTTTGTAGATGTATTGTACTGATGTGTTGGTGTAAGCCCTGTTCACACATTACACATTTATTTCAGTTATTCCTGCTTTATATATGTTGGTACACTGCATGAAATTCATAACCTGTTTCTCGTACTGGATCTAACAGTTAAAGACTGCCTTCATTGTTTTCTTAGCTCAGTTATATTTAGTTCCATAGCAATGGATTGATTCTTATATTATTTCATATTATGCATTAAAACGAGATGGGATAAGTGGTCAATAATGATTAATGCACATGAATATATTGTTTGTATCTTCTGTAGACTTGAAGATTTCTGTCTTCTGGGTTGTTCCGCTGCGTAGTCTGGTCGATGTTAACCAAACGTTTCAGAATATTCATCGCCCTGATGACGGAGGCAGTATGACCTCTGAAACGTTGGTTAACATCGACCAGACTACGCAGCGGAACAACCCAGAAGACAGAAATCTTCATACTTACCGCTGTGAAAACCTCAAATTCTCTAGACTTCATAAAAATGTTACTCACCGCTGTGAAAACCTCAAATTCTCTTAGACTTCATAAAAATGTTGTGTAATATCTGTACACTTTAAACAGAATTTCAGATTCCTAGCTCCAGAGGTTTGTTAGTTACATTTACAAAATTTATAACTTATACCAAGAGAGATTTTAGATTCACACGAGAAGGGATATGAAGATGGCTTTCTTCTGGGTTGTCGCACCTTGCAGTGTGTTAGAATTTTGCAAGTGTTTTAGAGATGCTTGCTGCCTTCATCATCAGGGCAATGAGTAAGTTTGCTTCTACCATATATGGCATAATAACCCAGAAAAAAAGACATCTTCACCTTTATACCAGTGTTGGTGTTGTGTGGCCACCATGAAGTTTTACGTTTTTCAAAACAATTGTGTTTTTCCGAAACCATTATTACCACACATAGTAATATTCTATTATTGCCAATGTCATCCTACCTGCAATGTTACGTAGCTGTCATATTGGTTTATTTAATGATAGAAATTGAGGAACAAACGTGGGGCAGCTTCAGGCATCATGGAGTTCGTACAAAGTTCAATGAAAATCTGTCACTTGTCGCAGAAATTGTTGCGGTCGGTGGATTCTGGTGGACGGACGAATGGATGTGTTGCATATTCTGTGGATTGAGGAATGAGCATTGCTGATATTGCAGTGTATTAAATTTGAACTATTCACTACAGAAACTCACTTTTGTTGTTGTCATGTTAGCAGTACTGTTTTCTCTGTTGCTGTATCATTTGTGTACTCGTAAATTCTTATGATCTGAATGAAGCTACTGTTTACATAAAATGACACAGTACGTGCGTTGTCTGGAGGAGTCACATTTGATATAAGGTCATGTTGAGTTGAAGGTCAGTTGCAATTGTAATGTTTTAGGGTGATTGGTACACCGCAGCAATCGGAGTGGCCAGAGAGTGTCTCACTGAACTGGAGTTCCTTTGTCCAGCACCACTCTGTGTCACTGGAGATTCTGCTTCCAGAGATATGCGAACAGGGACAGAATCTACTGCAGGTACTGCTTCGTTTATATCCTATTTTCTTGTTGGTATTTGGTGAGATTCTGTCTCGACGTGCTCGGTGGTTCTATGAATGTTTGTACTAGGAAATCTTTGCCAGAATTGTGAAATATAGAAATTATAGATGGTATGAAATGTGTCTTGCTAAGACTGTGAAGGGTCCTCCAGTTTCGGGGGTTGGTCATAAGGCTAACAACCTTGCACCGTAAAAAGGAAGAAGTTTTTAAACCTCCATCAAAGCCTCGGACAGACGGACCTAACAGAGGACCGAATGGAAGAGGAGAATTGAGGAGGCCATGGACTGAACACGGACCGGAGAGAAATAGAAGAAGAAGAAGAAGAAAAGATTGTGAAGAGATTCATATGTTTATGTATTTTTCCTGTTTTATATCTATCAGAGTGGTTATGCATCTGTTGAAGCGGATATTTTGTATAGTAACCAATGTTTTTGTTGTATGAATTAGGTGATGTTACGGAAGAGAAGTAAACATAGATTTTGCATTATTACAGTGTATGCTGAAATTTGACCCAGGTGAAAGGATCAGCGCTGCTGATGCCTTGCTTCACCCCTACTTTCGTGACAGTGGGTTGGAGCCTCTGCAGATTTTCTCACCTGTTAATCGTACCACCCCGTCTCTGAGCAGCAGCACCCCTGATGACTTGGGAGGACGGCATGGTGACAAATGAATATCTACTGCGTTACTCATCAGATCATGTTCAAACAGCACTTAAATGGCCACTCCTAATAGCATCCAGTACATTGGATGTCGTGATCATCGATTAATTTATACAGCCAATAATGCTTTAAATCACATCTTTCCATTCCATTTGCAGATATTTGCCGTCATTCCACAAAACCTGTGATCCGTCATAATAGCCATAGTCATTGTACATACATACCGTATATATTCCATTTTACCATAGCCTCTGTGTATCGAGACGATGTTTCTGCTCCCAGGCAGTATGTGATGTCTACCGGACACAATAATACCGAGACTTGTGAATTTAAAACTTTACTATCTGACAAGCCGAGTTTGAAATATATTCCGAGTTTATAAGTTTCTATTAAAATTTGGCATTGATGGCAGAATATGTCGTAGAAATCAGAATACTGACGTTTAGTTTGATTAAGGGGGGTGTCGATATATGTCGGCATGTAAGAGAATATAATGAGGAAAAATAATAATAGGAATATTGGTTTTTGGAAAAGAGACTCAAAGGCGGTCCCGTGTTGTGACTGTGCCACTGGTAGTCGAGTATGACTGCTTACTTGTTTTGAGCGTCTAATTTTGAGAATTCTAATATACATGGGAATGTGTAAATTCTTGCAGTTCCAGAGGTCTGACTGTGGTGTAACCTGCTCGGTAATTTTGTTGAGTTTCAAGTATAGAATTTTTAAGATGATGAAGATGGTACTGTGTTTTAAAATAGCTCTTGGCTGTTATGCTTCAAGGGCTGATGTGAGAAATGCCAAATGTAAAATTATTTGTGTTGATAAATAAGTGATTTATCAAAAGTGTACTGTGCAAAATACCATTTTCAAAGTAGTGGATATTATACTTGTTTAAAAGACTTAACTACTACCAGTTACTGCAGTAAGTATGCATCAACATTCTGACTCCCCGTATTAAGTAATTAATTTAAGATTTGGTATTGTAAATACCTCATGTGTCCCCTAATTTTAGGGACTGTGCATTTTTCCTCATGTTACAGTCTTTATTTTACTATTACTTGCTTTAGTTACTGGCTGTTATGAAAACTGTGTGTCTAAGAGAGTAATTTTTTCCCCCAAATACAGACTGAATGATTAAAACTGCTATCAACTAATTATCTCAGCAGTTCTAAGGTTCGTCGTGGCTTTACCTGTTGAAATAATGCCAACATAAGACTGCTATTTTAACATTTATTTATTTTCACACTGTTTACAAGTTATCTTCTTATTTTCAGCCTTCTGCGATTGCAGTTAAAAATGTGTACTGTGAAAAGGAGGTACGATATATGTCATATATTACTGATAACTGTTCCTTCTGAAATTGAATTTGCAAAATACACATTTTTTTAAATGGTTTTGTTTTGTTAAGAGGGTAGTGTTATTTGAAGTTAATAATTTAAATAATGCTCTTATTTTGGGAATATAAAAATGTAAACAGTCATAGATTTGTTTGTCTCTTTACGTTCAATAGGTAAGCGAGTATTATCTTCGGAAGTTGAACAAGTAATTCCAATCCTAATTTTTCACTGTACAGCTTTACCTGATGATGTAGGAGGTATTGTTTTTGTATCAGACATCAAAGAGTTATATAATATATTTCCAAAGAATTTTAACGTACATGGTATTTGATTATATTACATACTGAGAAAACTTTAACGTTTCATGGCGTGGTTTTCACGCACAACTGTAATTTTCACAACAGATTTTTGCAGTGTGGTACAGAATAATATCACCGAAAGGTGATGGAATTTTAATATAGTCATTTCATTTATTCGTCTTAAAATTAATAGATTCATATAAAACTATTTCTTTAGTATTGAAACCCCAGTAGTTTTTGAGTGCGTGGTGTAATTAGATGCGAGGAATAGCGCACGGCATTACCGTGGGGCTACATATAGTGGGTATGTTTTTCAGTTTTTAAGATCCATATCTTGAAAGCATCAAAATGTAGCCAAAAGATGGTGGAATCAACTATCATTATTATCTTTCCAGTATACAAATAGGAAGGCTACAAGAAGTGTTTGAATGCAACTGGACATAAATATGTCCGTAATGATTGTGAAGTACTTCGAGTTACATTTGTTTGGTTGGACAAAGCCACTATACAATGATACGAGCATCCCATTGCGTCTTGCTAGCAGTGGACGCCTGTTTAATAAACTTCCATTGCTGAAATAAGAGTTTCACTTTATTACCTAATGGGAATCGGCAGTGTTTAATCTTTACCAACCGTGCATCGCATTCATATGTGGTTTAGACCAGTGGTATTCAACCTTTTTTGTTCGCGTATAATTTCTCTTCAACTTTGTACCCCCAAAGTTGTTGGTGTATAATTCAAGTTATACATCATATATAATCTACATCTAAAATAAATTAAATAAATTACATTACTCATTATTCAGTGTTTATCATAAAATAATATATATATTTTTTAAATTTCATGTTCCCCCTTAGATGTCTTCGCTTACCACCGGGGGTGTGCATACCCCAGGTTGAATACCACTGGTTGAGTCGGTTCTGTGCTGCGCTGGTATGCCACTAATCTTTTAACCCCAAAGTCTGTCTGGTTGGCAGCCCTGTAATATGGTGGTTTAAATCTTCCGTCACTATGGTAAAGGTTAAGTGCCAGTATCTGATGTCCAAATTATGAAAATCATGCAAGTTGTGGTCCTTTCCAGTGTTTAAACAAGATCGTGAACATTAATAAACATTATTATTAAGCAGGTAGAGTGGGTCTTTATTGAACTTCTGTTAAATATTCAATAAAATTATTGTTTTTGGGCAAATATTTGTACTCTTATCGAGTCATCTAGAGGGGTGCAGAGCTTGGGGTAAAGCTGTCTATGTGGAGGAGTCCTTAAGATGTGTACAAGGAAAATAAAGTAACTTTAATATTACTGGCGCCAAACTGTAAATTTATTAAAGAGTGTGTATTAATATTTCTGTGTACATGATCACCAATGCCCAATGCTACTACTTTCTCAATAGGTAGAAGGGGCCAGTCCAACCAAGACTTGAGCCATAGATGTTTTCAGATAATTTTTAACTTACACTTTGCTCTGCCCTCGTCACACCTGAACTTTTGTTCTCCCATTAGATTCATCTGGACCTGTAGCCTCTCCTGACATTCCAAGTTCCAAATTTCATGTCCGTTTTCTGTTTTGTGTTAGTAGTTTCAAAAAATCTGCCCAAGTTTGAGACTGTATGTAACGTTTCATAACATTCAGGTTTTTTGATGGTTAGGAGTCGTTAGCTCTGTGCCCAACCCATCCTCAAGAATCACCCCTTCTCAGCTATGCGAGATTACTTATTCAATGTATTTACGGCTGTTTTCAATATTTGGATGCCTTCTTCATGTTAAGTCAAATAATTGTTTTCTTCTATATTTCTGGTTTTTCGCTGTGATTAAAATTGTCTGGGAATTTTACATCTATCAAGCAGGAAATTAAATTTCTGAGATGTCAAATTTGGAAAATCTTATGATGGGTAATGTCTAGAAAAATAAGTGGTGTAACACAATCTAACGTAGTAATGTAATTGCTTTTTTACATGACATTTTTTCAATGAATTGGCATTCTTTTTATTGAGAGGTTGGGCCAACAAATGACCCATTTTCGTTTGGAAATAAAATTAACTTTTAATAAAAGCAATAGAGTGGTTAAAGGAGGTCAAAATTGTATAGATTCTAATTTCTTTTACTATACCGGTTTCAGAGTCTGAAATTGTGAATCTGAATGTACATACATTCTTTGCAGAACCCAATGTAAAGTGTATTTATAAAATTTCCTTAATAACTATAAGAATCTTGCAGGTTCTTGGACTCTGATTTTATGATTTTCTGTATGTTACATAGAACATCTTTTGGTTTGGTGAATATTTAAGATGAGAGTTTGCATTGGTCTTTACAAAAGTAGCAGATTTAATTGATTGGAATTACCATGAGGCATGATTCTAGGTTTGTGTACAATTAGGCATTACTAGTTTTAAATTGTCTTTTAATTTGTAAAATGATTCCAGTATTTTTATTTCACGAAGTTCCCAACATCAACAACAGACTTAATGTCAATATTTTTTAAACCTGTTATCTCCCTTTTTACATTTTAATTAACAACTGATTATAATTAAACAGCACAGAAATGAATGAGTTAATTTCATGGCAGCAGATTTTGTTTTCCATTTAGTTCATAAAAGACTGATTGAAACTTTCAGTACTTACGATAGATTGTCGTTAGATGTTAACAGGGTGAATGTTTTAATAAACACACATTTATGTTGTGTTTCAGTGATAAGACTTCAATGGAGGGTTTACATTTCATAAAAATTCAAACAAGTGGTAATGAAATGAAACCAAAAGGAATAAGAGGGATTAATAATATTATTTTTGTATGAGCTTGACGTTAAGCTGTAGATATAGTAATAGAGGATTTTACACTTAGCTTCTCTGCGCGGAAGAACCAGAAAGTTGATTGGAGTTCAAGATGAATACTTATGGCCTGTTTAGTTTTTACAGATGACTTGTTTGAAATTTCTGATTTTTTTTTCTCGTGTCACATTTACTTTGACATCCTGATACATACTTTTATTGCAAGTTATTCAAAAAATATATTTGTATGCATTTAAAATTTTATGATAGATAATGGCCACAAGTTACGAAATCTGTTTTGAGTTTACAAACAAACGCCCCTGTTCCAGGAACCATGCCTTACTATTGGTCTCTCTATGTAATGTGCAGAAAAATATTGAACGTAAAAGAAGTCCTTTCTTTTCGTTACAGTACGTTTTGAGAACTGCCTGTCACAAGTGTGTCTTAGATAAATTGGTTAGGTGAGAAAGTAGGATTTGTTAATCAAAGTAAATGAAGTTCCTTCAGGACAACTGGAAAATCTCTTCAGCGGAAGATAACTAATGTCGTGACATATCAGTATGGTCCTACCTGTGTAGTCTTGCTGTGGTTAAAAGCCGTGCTCGGCCTTTGTGTTTCCACGCGGTCTCCAGATTGTATTTTACATGTAAATAAAAAGGGAAACATTTTTATATATAAAAATATGGTAAGAATTTATGTAAATTCTTGCATTTCCTGATAATAAAATTAATTTGAAATCATGAGTTCACTTGATATGCATAGTGTAAACAATCATCTTTCCTTAGCTCTGGATAAATGTTATTTTAAGGCATGAATTCTGTATTTTATGGTTTTGTTTTTAGTACTGTGATGGTTTTATAATCCCAAATTGTTCAAAGTTCATGGTGCATTGACTCCATCTTCTGGGATCCACCATCTACAAGTATACGCAGCATCACATCGCAATCCAGAAGATCGAAATCGCCACGAGTACATTAAATCTTGAGTCTGTAATATTTGAGATCTGATGAAGTTTAGGTTATGTAGGCATGAAATACAGAATGTCAAATTAAGGTACGCTTTATAGCAATGTCATTCAAATTTAAGAAACTTAAGTAGTATTATGCGGAAAGGTCACAGCAAAATCATAAAATGTTGCGAAAACACAAAGTACTTCTGTGACCTTGAAACATGCAATTTGGTGATGGAGTGTGCTGAAGGTTGTAAATTCAAGTCAGAAAGAATGTTTTAGATAATAACTCAAGTTGCCTGTGCACTGTCAATAAGAAAGCAGAATTGCATTACAAATTATCATCAAAGACAAAGTATTTCAGTGTTTGCATACATTTCTTTTTTTGCAAAGCATCCACTGAGGTAACATGATTGAGATATAACACCGTTGTGACAAGATACAACGCAATGAATCGTAATTTTAAGTAATTACAGTATTTTCCTCTGATGACAATGTCTCTTACACCAGAATGGTTAAATTTACTAACTAACTAACTAACTAGCACTGTCGCAGGTATTATTTGCAATATTGTTTGATGCCAAGAATCTATGTACACGTTCTTGATATTCCATTGTACTTTCCTCCATTGGCAAGTAAGGTTCGATATTTATCCTTTCAGACTCGGTATTTATCACGTGAAACCTGTTTACGCCATTCTTGTTTTGTACCGCACTGAAATGAACACTGTTCCCAGGATGACGATGCTGGTGATTAGAAATTATGTCGGGTTTACGGGTGATGCCATCTATTTTATGATGTCCTTTGTCAGAGGTGTAAGCATCGTTTGACGGTGGTGGTGGTGGCGGCAGTGACCTTTCCAGTCCCTCTATGTTTCTTTCACAAGTATTAGAGATATTTTCATGTGGGTAACAGTTCTTCATCCCTTTCCAGGCAATGCTGGCCGACAACAAGGACCACGCTAATTCAAGAGCTGATGCTACTAGAATATTTATTGCAACTACAGTTCTAACTTCTCTGGCACTTGGCGATTTCTCATATTCTGGTGTTGGTGGTTCTTGTTCTAACATCAGTTTTGATGACAGAAATTTTGAGAGTTCTTGATTGGAATTATTAAGGTTATGGATTATTTCTGAGACATTATCTTCGTCCTGTGATTCATAATTTATTGAAGGAATTGTCGTCATATCTTGTGTCTCATCATGATTATAGATCTTTGGGTGCATCTGTTCGTCTTCAATGACTGCTGTTTTCTGATGTCCCTCACCATTGTCTAGTAGCTCTTCCTTCGGATAATGGATTGCAGATGTCTTTGGTCCGTTAAACCAGCCACCAGAGATGGAAGGAGGGCTTAGCTTTGGGTCGTGATTACTTGATGATTTGATGAATACATTATTTGTTTGGTTTGTCTTAATGTTAGTAATTTGCATTGTATATGTCGATTCATTCCGTCTTTCATTTCTAACATTTGTTCCTAGTAAGCCTTCACATTTTGTCGTAGAGTCATTCAGTGCCAGTCCACAGTTACGTCTCTCCCCACTGTCAGGATATTCAGAAAGAACTTGTCCATTTTCAATTTCAAGATTTTCCTCTGTTGGCGTCCATATTGCAGAATATTGATATTCAGATGCTTCTGTAGTGTTAACGATACCAATTGCGACTTCCTCTAGATTCTGAATGATGTTTCTAGATGCAGTTCCAGTTTGAATCAGATGGTTTTTTGACTTTACATTTTCTGACGTATGATGCGATGCATTACGTTGGATATCATCGTGCGAATGCTCAGAAGTCCCCAGAATAATCACTTGCTCTGAATTGTCCTTAATATTTTGACCAGGGTCACCTTTGTTGATTACAGCTGAATTATAAAAACTCTGTGGCACTTTCATGGTGTCTTTCACGTGCCCCTGAGCCTCTTGATTGCCGTCATTCTGTTCAGATCCATGAAGAACCTCGGAAGGTAATTCTTTGATGTCATTGATATTTATTGATTGTTCTGGGATGTTCTGTCGGTGAACGAGTCCTTGGTCATAGTAGATGGATCTGTAAAGCTCGTGGTTTGATCTCTGCTCCTCTACGGTTGCTAGGGCTGCTGCAGTGATGACGAAGCAGAGGAGGGATGTGGCAGCAGCCACGGTGGAGCACATGAAGAACCAGCGGATGTTGTTATCCACGTACCACCTGCAAACGTGGTACCGTATCACAAGAGGAAAATAACACTTTTCATAGACTTCTAGAAATATATCATTTTAGAAATATTGAATGTTAGTAAACTTCTAGGTTGCGTGGCATTACAACCTAGAAGACAGCCATCTTCATACTTGCCACCATGAGAATTTCAAATCTAACTGGAAATGTGTACGTGATTTCAGTCTGAAGGCTGATGGGAAGAGGCACTTGGAGGTCATGGTCATAGGAGGAGAAGGAAGAAATAGGATGTGAATTTGGACTGGATTCATCTGGCTCAGGGTAATGACCAGTCATATGTTCTTTTGAGCACGGTAATGCAATTATGGTTTCAAGAAAGGCAGGAAGTGTTTTGACCAGCTAAGCAACTGTTATCCCAACTTTTACAGGAACTAAGATTAATTTTTCTTACCACGTTTCGGGACACAACTTAAGCCATTTTAAGAGAATATTTTTTTGTAATTTTGTGGGATTATTTCTTTAGATGTGACTTTTACAATTTTGTACTGGGAACAGATTGTGAACACCCAGTGTTCTTCACCGGGCTTGTGAAGATCCTTTGAAATGCTATTTGGTGCAGCTGTATACGCACCGTCTCCAGGCAAGGATGCCGGCAATCCCTGCCGCACCGGCTGCTAGGCCCAGCCAGAGCCCGCCTCCGTAGCGTCCGGTCCAGCAGGAGTGGGACTGCAGTGCCAGACCTAGGCCACCAAGCAGCAGGGACGTTGCAGCAAGCAGCAAGTGCACGGCCCCGAGCCCGCCCACGGTGAGGGCGGAATAGCGCCGCTCGGATGGATACAGGCGCGCTGGGTCCGGCTCGGTCCGCACCTTCACCACGTAGATTTCCTCCATCAACTGGAACAAGGATTGTGGTTCAAATTACAATTTGGATGAAAGACAGGCCCCACGTACCGGGTAAAGCTGTGCAAATTGTAGAGTTGTTTACAATTCTGAAAGTTTTGATTGCCACTTACCTGATTTCAATGTGGGCCCCGCTGGTGATTCTGCACACTTCAATATGTGTTTTTGTTTCCAGGTACTGGAATTTTTAAACATTTAAATGAATGGGGGTTGATTATAATGATGCAACGAAGTGTCCTTAAGGAGCTACAGGCCAGTTTATTTTTTAACTCGACTGTAAACAGTCTCTTAACTGCTGGAATGGTTGGGGCCTTGTCCAGTTCTGTACTCCATGGACACTTTTCAGCCCTGACACACTGGAGTGTGATTTCTGAAGCAAGTTAAATGCTTACAACTTCAACTAGATGATGAACGGTGGAACACGACGGATATGACGCATGCAATAACCCACTTTCATCTTCCATGACTTCATGAAAATAGGACTTGAAGGCTGCATTCTCAGATTGCACTTGAAGAATTCTAGCAAGTTCTACTCTCCAAACTGAAAATTCATTCGTGATCTCAAAAGTTTTTGAAAATAAGTTACGAAACGCGCACAGCATAATATTGCTGGTGCATTCATCAAAATATGCTCTTCAACGCTTCTGAATGGCACCAGCGATGTCAGAAATTTCTGCAATCAGTAGGCGCCAGGTCCTTGACATCTGCTTTTGTTGAATGATGATGATTCTGCATGTGATTTGTGTGGCCGAGAATTTCCCAGCTGGAGATTCCAAATGCAGGGATTTCCACGCTCAGAAACTCTTGTACGTATCCCCCTAAATTGCCCATTATTGCTGTTCAGTAAAGTAAATGTAAAGCTGTCCCACTATACGCCATGTAGGCGCTTGGGGTGAGTGGAGGTATAGCTCCTCTCTTCCTTGACCTCGGCACTAGATGGGGGTGAGTGGTCAGCATCACGCCCCGGCTGCGCTTTACCCCCGGGAGAGGGCCCCGGTACCCATTGGACAGGAGGCTGGGTAGGCCCCAGAGTCATTCTGGATGCAGAGGCTAGAGGAAAAATCCTCTGCCCCCATCGGGGATCGAACCCTGGTCGTCCAGTCTGTAGCCAGTTTCAACCAAAACCAGAATGTGTAGACAACTTTCTGTAAAATTTCCCTAATATTAAATTTCATTTAAATCTGTTGTCGTTCTGAAGTTGTTACATGCACAGATGGGCAGATGAATGTACAGGGTGATTAAGTAAGTGTTCCTTCGGGTTGCAAAGACACTTAAAATTAACCCCATCACCATGGTGATAACTTATTGCAAACTTTTAATGTCTTGACAATTAGTAAAATAAAGATATTTTTATATGTTGTCATTAGGACATTTGTGAAGTTGGCTTTCCACATAAAAACAGTCTGTAACAATCGTATCAAAACCTAAATCTCACGGTCTTTTATCAGAAGTAATATGATCTCCCTGTATGATATTTTGTTAGAATCCATACAGAAATTACCTGGATGTTAAATGTGCATAGATGAATATCACAGATTAAGCTCAGGTTGGGTTAGGTTAAGTTTTTCGTATGCATAATCATCTTCCCACTGAACCCTATTACATATGCAGTTGGGGAATTCTGCTGTTATTGTTATTTTTAGAAAATCTGATTGCATTTTACCATTCCGTCCTTGTGGGATAAGGATGTATCTCACCGTTCAGAGTTTAGTTTCGAAGTACGCCTTTAACCCAACAAACAAACATATTAACCACGGAGAATGCAATTGTTAAATACTGTCACATCCGTTGAATTCCTCGTGTAGCAAACACTAGGAATTCAACATTGAGTACCCAAAGGCAGATCCACCACATAAGGACATTTCTTTTCCCCCGAACAAGTTATTAGGCCCCACAGGAATACGTGTGAGTTGGGAACCTCTAGAACAATCTTCTCCCACCAATCACAGAGCTGGGTTTGAATATGAACTCCAGTGGTTGATCAGAAGTGTTCTAAAACCTTTGTTACGGAGAGGGCAGTGTCTTTTCACCACAGTTCGGCGTAGCGATCACTTGCAACATTTCCGTCTGTCGTATCTTTATGCCGTATTGATTATACCATATAATTCGGGCAACACTTCCTTCATATAAGCGGTCAAAACAGCTGCTTGTGGTCGAAGTTTGTGCCGTAAATTTGATTATTCTTGAATCTGACTGCTTCAGTTCAAATTTTGTTGAAACAGATCAGCGTCTGATATCTGTGTAATGTGTTCTGCGAGTGATACCCTCGCAATTTAGTGAGTGTCACCAGTCATCGCCTAGTGATAAATCACCTACGTGTGGGCATTCAGTCTCGCACCGGACTATTTTTTTAACGCGTCCTAAACAAGCCTCAAGCCACTCCTCATTCAGTTCGAGCCAACATTATGAGATCCTTTGCGATCAATCAGGAGAAGCCGAAACTACAAAACAAAATTTTCATTCACCCACGATTCAAGAAACGATTCTCAGCGCCCAGGACCGAAAGCTTTCAGAAGAATCTGCGACTAAGACTGTCGGAGCTTTCACCTCCGTGTCTGTTGAATGCAGGGGGGGGGGGGGGGGGAGAAGATCGTTATCATAACCCACACTTCTGGACCGTTATAGTACTTCAGTTCAAGTGTCGAGTAATAGCTGAAGGATCTAGAGTGGGCCACCGTTTGCCTTTTTTACACACAGTTATAATGAAACAAGTGTCCTAGGGATCCTGAGAATGTAATCTATATCGAAATCTCTGTTCGAGATATGAGCTTATCACGACGGTGAAGGTGGAGTCGTTAAATAACCTTAATCTATAAATAATAATAATATTGTGTTTATTGTCGACTTACCGGTACTTTTGAATCGACCAATCGATTAGACTTGAGGCAGTGCGGATGGAATATCACGGAATCACATGTATCATAAACACCTCAGAACACACTACGATATCTCGGAGAAATTGGCTGTTGAGAATTCCATCAAGAGAGTTCTTGTAACTGTTTACGAAGTTCAGAAAGGTTCTGACGACATAACCTGGAGTTTTATTATAATGAAAATTTAAAAATACATCACTACGAAGATAACTTCGTCCTAGTTACTGTCATTTTTGTTGTTGTAAAAATCCGCTGAACAGTATGAAAGTCACGGAACAGAAGCACTTATTTGCGTCAAACACATTGTTTAACAGTTTATATTTGTTCACCACTTCACTGCTTGGAACATAATTGATTTTTTTTCCACTCACTGCACCTTTGATTCTGACATCCCGCTGCGTGATGTGATGAGATCAAGTATTCGAATGAATGCATGAGAGAAACAGGCAGGCATGCCAACGTGACGAGCGACCGCGCAACACTGGTGCTCGCTCACGACCTGTTTGCCCGCTGGCTCGCTAGGTTACTGGTACAGGAATTGTGTGTTGACGCTTCAGCTTGCGATGTTGTTTTCTGAAGCGGAACGAGACAGTAGTGGGAGCAGAGGCGTGAAGACGAGAAACAGAGAATTACGAGACTGAAAAAAGATCAGACAAATAAGATGAATGAATTGTCAAGATTAGACGGAACACAGCTTTCACAAGAATTTGAAAGCTTTGAAAGTGTATGGCGGCCATCAAACAAAAAACTTTGTACCACTGTAAGTGTCCTAATGAATCTCCAAACGCAATTTCAAACTAGTTTGCAATGTGCATTGTTCATCTGGACCAGCCAGGTCATCCAGTTTTATTTATTTATAAATGTATGGATCGACGTACCGAAGTGTCCCAACATTTATATCGAGAGCACAGTTGATTAGTGAATTTATTCTGTAAAAAAACGCGTAGAAATGAAATCATATAAACATTACTGGGCCTATGACTTGTGCGAGATGAAGAAAATATAATATTATCGTTCTTATGGAACGTGTGGAATAATAGGCCATCGCCCGTATGGCAACTCATAGCCTCACCAAGGACACCGCCGAGTTACATTGCACATCAGCGTAATCACATGAAGCAATGATCTGTAATTTCGTCTGGAACAGGAAGTCGCATTGTCTTACACAAAGAGACAAGCGCGGAACAAAACTTAACTGTAATTTCTTTATCCCTGCCCTGGAGCTCTCGAAATGCAACGTAGCTTCAGCAGTTTAACACCAAATCAGACTCTGCGGGAATATTACTTTCAGTATTGCTGAAGACAACGATATTAATATGTAATTCTTTGATTCAAAACACTAATCCACTAGTGCGCTCTGCGAAATCAAATTGTAGATGTCAGCACAGTGTTTTTTCATTACGACGAGTAGAAACTCTAAACGTTATTTTCTTAAAGAACATTAGTCCGAGTATCTGAAGACAATGGAAGCTTTTATGTTCAGAGAGAAGGATATTGGTACGCCTGATACAATAAAAACATTATTATCATCGTCGTCGTCATCTCTTCACATGTATTGAGACCAAATTAAGGGCAAAAGACAATCAGGTTGAAGGCAGTTCCAACACTAATATACAGCAGCGAAATATGGAATTTAAGAAAACTGGATAAAACCAGATTAACCACATCAAAAATTATTTTTTTCAGGAAAAGAGCTGGATACAGATTAATGAATCGCAAAGAAAACGAAAAATAATACAGGAACTACAAGTTACGCCAACTTTAGACAAAATAAAAAATTGAGAACCAAATGGATACAGCGTGTCTCAAGATTGGATAACCAAAAATATCCTAAAAATGCTGCAATACCAACCTAGAGGAAACAGCCCTTTGAAAGGACTTTTAGATTATATTCAACTAGAGGCCGAAACAGATTACTGAGGTCTAAATTCGCAAAGTCGTATGGTTATGATTATTGTTCAAAATTTAAATTTCTAAACACAACTTCTCGAAGATAGAATCGACAAACCCATAAAGATACAGAAGATGGGAACTGTCGGTGTATAAAAACGGAGAGAATGAAGCGAAGAATTTGCTTTTAAATGATGAAAATCCACTTTTATCATACAAAAACTTGTCTGAAACCTGTCGCAGTGATAGACAGCAATCCTTCACGATTCTACTTTGAGTTTTTGAACAGCTACGAATTACCTTGTGCGGGCGTTACAAGAAATGTTAAGGAACGATTGATTTGAACGTGCAACCCAGATCTCGGGCGTCTTACGGATGCGTGACACTCTGCGATAGGTTACTTTTTATCTCCTTTGGTTTTCTTCGCCGGTCAAAATATGGGTCTCAGAGCTAAACTCCAACATCACCTCTCATTTCTGATGCTTACAATTTTTTTTATTCTTTTTTTAATTCTCTGTTTCCTTTTCTATCTATTATTTTCCTTTTTTATTTCTATCTCGCCTTCATTTCCTCCTTTTATACTGTTTTTCTTTTACGTCGTCTTTATTTCTTGAAGCCCCCAGCCTCAAAGACGGTACTTCGGCATGAAATATATAAATATCCCTACGATAGTCCGTTACACGCACGTGGTGGTCTACAGTTCTACAGTAGTCCACGAAGGAGCGCCTTCTCGCTCGCTGATGCTCAAGACCCGCGGGTTTCCCTGTCCCTGAGATTGTTTGTAGTGACGTCACATCAGGTTTTGAACCGAACGTCGTGGTTGACACTCGTGCTTCGCATACGGGAAGTCCCGGGTTAAAATCTCGGCCCGGAGATCGTCTATCTTGACTCCGGTATTTTCTTGGTTTTTTTCTCAATCCCTCCAGTGCCGGAATTGTATCTAAAATTAGGCCGTGACCTCTTCCTTCCAAATTTCTTTGGAAACTCGTTTTTCTCTGTCATCCTCTCATTCGACACTATATAGTCTGAAAAAACGTCGTTAAACAAATAAATGAATCAGGTTTCTAGAATACTGGACGAATAGGACCCACCTTCGATTCCAGAACGTGGCTTACTAGCGTATTACTGAAAACGTTACGTCCTAATTTGATCTCGCGATGTCTGCCATCGAGGGAACTCCAGTGTAAAGAACGGCCGGCTACATTACATTTCCAACAGATAAAATACATTTTTGGAAATTTCTCTTACATATGAAATACAAGTGACAACATTCTCATAAAAGCCTTATTCTTACAAACGCCTTCCTTTATGAAAGGCAGTGAAATACGCCAACGTTGGTATTCCTGTATTCCAATTGACCTTTTTTTGAATGTTACGTTACGCTGAAATAGCTACTTGATTTTAAATATTTATAATATTATTGTTATTTCAACCACCTCTAGAAGAAACTAATTCTGGAAAAACTATAATTTTACGTAGTTGTATCGAAGTGAAACTCTGTGTCTCTGCAAAGGGAATAACACAGTTGGAGGGTGTCTTGTGAACAAAATGAACAATAGAATATCTGGATCTGAGTCACAGGAAGCAACGGACGTGTACAGAAAAATTAATAGTGAGGATACTCGTATTTATATTCTACATTAAATAGAACCGAGTTCACTTTCGTGTGTGTTGTATGTTTCTGGGTCACGGAATAAATCGATTTGTTGTTTCCATTGAGTGCGGGAAATATTTTAACTACGGGTGGCAGCGCGTAAAATATAAAGCATGCATGCCAATATAACGCGCTAGTGTCTTTAACAGACTTTGCAGAACCCTGAATGCGCCATGTAGATTCCCTGAAGATTGAAGCAGTTCATCTGAAACATCTGCGAACTTCTTCCAGACTACACATCACCTGTTCATGCCCGTCGCCATGAGAACCTGAGATCTAATTTACAGAAAATTTCTCGCTTTCAGTCTCCGAGCACCGGTCATGTCGTTAGTCTTTTGTTTCCCAACGAGCGAACAGCGGCTGACGCTGCCATGTGCTACATTGTTCTTACGTTTCAGGCGACTGTGTTGGTGGTGGGCTGATTGCGAAGGCCATGACTTGTCTTCTATCCGAATGCATAATTACGCATTCCAATGGGCGCGGTGCTGGTTATTATAGATTCAATTATTTTTTTATTTGTTACATCGTTATGTGCATATTTATTAAAGCTAATAACGCTTTTGAGTTGTGTCAATTATACATTGTTTTAACAGTTATGTTGTGTGCATGGAGTAACTGTGTCTGTAGCAAGTCATTGAAAACTTCCTTCTTAATGAATGTTCTGATAAAACGATGGTCGCTGTTGTGTATAACTGTACCCTTTTTTAGGTTAGTAGTAACTAGGTATATGGCATATATACCACCTGCTTTAACGTTAATTTCTGTGTTTGTCGCTGACAGTCGAGAAAAAGTACCAAATTTTATCTGGTTCTCATAATAAAGATAAAACTTCTTTTCTGTTAGATCATTAAAATGCATTTGTTACGGTTCTCGAACGTTGGAACCTCGTTTATAACTTGCTCTAGTATTTAGACGATTTCTTTTAGGTAAAAGGATTTAGGACACCGTCGTTTAGAGACGACGAGCTCCTTACATTTTCACAGGCACTCGTCACGAAGTATTATTACGGCGATATAAACAAGGAGATCTAATTTATACCTGAGGACGGTTAAATATAACCGAAACATGTCGTAAGAGACGTTCCAATTTGTAAATCGATCATTCGATGCGGAACGTGAAATGATATTTTAAATATTTTATATTTTATTATCTTATTAAAATTGTGATTTGACGGAAAATATTAAAATATTAACCTAATTCACAATATGACGCAAATATACTACCTTAAGGAGAATGAGATTGACCGGACATGTAGTACGCATTCTACACTTTAGTCGGAAAATCTGAAGGGAAACGAGTATTTTAGAGACGAAGTCATGGATGGGAGTTTACTATTACAATGGATTTTAACGAAATACGGTGTGTGTGTGGATTGGAAACATCTGGCTCAAGACAGGGTGAGTGGTGTTTACTTTAGATCAAGCTATCAAGTTTCATAAAAGTCGATGAATTTGTTGGCTTACAAAGGAACCCGTTCGATTAATTGCAGTAAACCTCGATCATCCTCTGACTTTGTGGCCAGAATTTTAGGTACCTACAATCCAGTTTTATTTTCCATATTATTCATTGGGACATCTCAAAACGGGCTCTGCCCCATGGACTTGCAATGTCGGATGATAAATAGTGTAACTCAGAGGACGTCTCGCGTTTGAAAGAGGCTCTCATCGCCTGTAGCCTAGGCAACCCGCGTATTATTACGTAGTCCCGCACATGCATTTTCTCTGGCGTAGTTGCGACATGGATGACTTTTACTTTTGTTACTCGACTCCATTGTCAGTGTGACACGTTCTTCAAACGTGACGGAGCGCTGCCCCCAAGTTTTACTCCCACAATTCAGCGCGTTGTTTCGACTCAGTGCAATCCTGAATATTACCGTCTTTTTTCCCACGAAGTTAATTTCTACTCGCACATAACGCACGAGTGTGTTGATTCTGTGTTATGTAATGACGAAAATATCGGTATTCTGAAGA